TGGGGCAGGGGACTACAAGATCAGTTTAGGAAGCTCTCTGAGGCTTTCAAGTACTTTTAGCAGGGAGTGAGCTACAATGCTATCTGCCATCATGATCCAACTCATTGTACCATGAATTTACTTAACATAAAATAACATGGTGTCCAGACTGGTGGAACTAACCTTATTGGATGTTTAACAGCCATTCTTTAAGGCCTATACTAATGTGGTCAGAGGGACTTAAAGGACAGTTTTTGCCCCTTGCCCTCCAAGGTCAACTAAATTCCAAGGGACTATGGAACATCTCTCAAAATGTCCTGTAACTGTGGTAAGTTACCTGTCCTCTTGTTCAGGGAGGCCATGGAGACCCCATGAGATGGACTTGAACCAGTGTCCAGTCTACAAAGAGGAGGGTCAACACAGAGGAAACATTTCCTGCATGCTTCCAAGTGAAGGCAGCCATGGTTGAGCAGACTTATCTTCACATAGATGGAACTGGTAAAATAAAGGAGCCAGGGGCTCCTCCCAGGTCCATGTGACCCCTGAGGAACAGATCCTCAAACGACCTTAAGTGTAAATATAAATTGATTTATTTGGGCCAACTGTATGGTCTTAAACATCCAAAAGGAAAGTATAACCAAAGAGTAAAGTGATCACTATATTTAAGAGTTCAAGTGATTATACTCAGATATTAGGCTTAAGTCCATATAAACAGTTATTTTGACAATTATTTATCATTGATGATTTTGTTCTGAATTAGAAATTCCTGCTCAGATCTAAGACTTCAAATCTTGGTCTGCAATACTGTAGTGCCCACCTGAAGCTAAGGGAGACAACCAGCTATTGTTCTAAAATGGTGGATAAATTTGTTTTCTCCCCCTATTTAGAAGCCTTTGAGAGGGAACTGACACTGATTCTAACCACTCCAACAGCTATCAAAGTAACTGAAAGCAAATACTGAATCCATCACGCTCAAGTACACAGCCTTGGCAGACAAAAGAAAAATGAGGAAGAACCCAATAGAGGGATGCTTTTGGAAGCCCTTGTCAAGAAATTCCAATGGACTCTCATATGAGCATTTGAAATTTGCCCTGTTCAGACTTTTTTCTATTCTAGTTCCCTGTCTGGAACTTGTAATGCTAATTACTTGCCTTTACTTCTCCTTCACCTATTTACCAGGCAAGGACTTTCTTTTCCCCCTACAGATAAGAGTTATGCAATTTGGGAGTATTTTAGGTAGACCCAATGAAGGGGTACTCCTATTGCCTCACCCTGCATTCCTGTTAAGCATGGAAGAAGCCAGAGCTGTCTGTGTCCCGATTCCCTATCTGCAATCTGGGTAACCTCTTCAGAGGATGGTGTGATAAGAATAGGAGGTAGGCATTGGCTAGGCAGTTAGTGTAAAAAGACCCCAAAGAAAAGTAGCCATTTTCCTTGCTAAAAGTCAAAATGTCCTTGGGCCTCTTAGCAACATACACTGTTCCAAAGGCCAAAAATCTCAAAAGTATTTGGGAGCTCTTATCTAATCCTTAAAAGATTTTAGGGTTACCTCTTCAGAGGGGGGAATGTTAGAGAAGCCAAAAGCCCCATAAAAAATAAATAAATCAAAGAAGAAGGAGTACATGATGTTATCAGAAAAAAGTGATGGAGGATATGGGAGGAGTTGGAGGGGAGGGAGTGGGCATGGATTTGATAAAAATACCTTAATGTTTATATGCCTGTATGAAATTCTCAATAAATTATTTTTTAAAAAAATAACATTGTGTCTGAGACCCCTAATGCTCTGGACAGATACCAGACCAGAGAGGTGTTCTCCTGATCTGCTGCTTCCCCTTTGGGCCATGCAAGTCCATCCTTCAGATGTCCACTCCATAATAGAACATGCCAACCTGTTAACTGGCCTCTATTATCTTTCATCATACCTGGCCACTGAACCTCTCTCTGCTAGGCCCGATTTATCATTCCCTGCCAACACATCTCTTTTTGTATATATTAAGAAGCACATTCATGCCAGGCATGGTGGTGCACGTCTTTAATCCCAGCACTCGGGAGGCAGAGGCAGGTGGATCTCTGTGAGTTCAAGGCCAGCCTGGTCTACATAGTGAGTTCCAGGATAGCTGGGGCTACAGGGAGACCCTGTCTCAAAAAGAAAAAAAAAGCACATTCATGCCATTACCATAACATTGCAACATCTTTAGCTGATATAATTTATCTTCTCTTACCATTTCTTCCCTAGGCTCCCTCAACTAAGTATCTAAGACTGATCCCAACTCCATGTATGTGGCAGTTCTGTGTTTGTGTGGGCAAAGTTCTCTGATTTTTTTTTGTCTTTTTTGAGACAGGGTCTCCCTGTAGCCCCCGCTGGCCTGGAATTTGCTATGTAGACCAGGCTGGCCTTGAACTCACAGAGATCTGCCTGCCTCTGCCTCCTGAATGATGGGACTAAAGGCATGCGCCACCATGCCCGGCAAAGTTCCATGATTTTTAGACATTCTTTCTTCTAAAAAAAAGGGGGGGGGTTAAAGACATTCTCATTTGTGTTTTTAAGGGATATATGCAGTACAGAGATGTAGGCAGATTATTTTTGTTTAATTGGTCAACAAAATTTACAGGTTGATTTCTAGAGAAAGTAGTTCAGAGGAACATGGAACCATGATTATTGTTTGGACCACTGATTGTGAGCAACAGTAGAAATGTCTCCTATTACCCAAAAAGGCAGGAAGGTGGTAACCACCTCCTCTGTCCAAGTGGACTTATATATACTGTTCTGTAAATAAAGGCAAGAGATGACCTTCTGGAAACCCATGAACCATGAGGTTCTGATACAATGCGGAGTTCTCTCTAAAGGAGGAGTCTAATTGCTAGACTCTTAGCTCAGGAAGGTAGAAAACAAAACATCTGGCTTCTCTCCTATATGCTGTTGCTGCAGCATCTGATACCACTTACCGATGGTCACACATCTGCAGGAAGTACCTCCCAGGTCTGCTATGGATGGTGTTTCTCCATCCCCAAGGGATGTCCTACCAAACACCACACCAATGGTGAGGATATGAGTTTGGGGAAGAGGAACAGCTATTAACAATATCATGCTAAGAAGCCTTGTTTCAACAGACTTAATGGAAGCTAAATTACATTGATATGAAACCCTTTTCCAAGAACGTCTTAATTCTATGAGGTTCCTTTTGCTAAAAGAGCCGTGCTGTAAAGCAGCCTTATCCAAGCAGAATTGTTTTCAGCTGCCTGAATGCTGTAGGCGAGAGGTCACAACCAAGCATGGGGAACCACTGGGAGGAGGGCAGAAAATCCCGGAGGCCAGCTGCCACACACAAAGCTCAGCTTGCAGGAACATGGAGACAGGAGTTCAGGGTCACGCAGTTCTGGATCCTGGGAAGATACTTTTCAGACACACACTGCTTTCTGCTAAGATAAGGACTGCACCATTCTGCTAGAACGTGACTTCTTACAGATTTAATGAAACTGTACGTCCCATCGTCACCTCATAAAAGTGGGGGAGTATCTATGTGCTATATACTTTTATATTAAACTCCATGAGTACATGTACATATGCTATACATATGTGATTATCTAATGCTGTTCCGCTCCTCAAAAGACATGGCTGACTGATGCTACTGGTGTCGTTGAGGATGAAGTCGTAGCTGAGGAGCTGGATGAGAAGAGACTTCATTATATAATACTTAATACCTTTTCACTTTGAACTATGTACAATTATTATTGTTGAAAAATACATTAATAACTGGGCTGGGAAGGTAGTTCAGTTGGGAGAGTGCTTGCTTAACATGCATGAAGCCCTGTGTTTAATCCCCAGCATCACATAAAACTGGGTGTGGTGGTGCAGGGCTGTATTTCCAGAACTCAGAGGTGTGCAAGCAGGAGGGTCAAAGTTCAAGATCATCCTCAGCTACATAGCAAATTCAAGGCCAGGTTGCATAAAACCCTGTCTCAAAAACAATAAAACCACATATAAAATAAAAAGAAAAGCTGAAATCCAAATTGAAAAAAAAACATTAATAAAACTAAAAAGTGATTGGGCATGCCTTTAACCCCAGCACTTGGGAGGCAGTGGCAGCAAAGCTCTATGAGTTTGAGACCAGCCTGATCTACATAACTAGTTCCAAGCCAGCCAGTGCTGCATATTGAGACCCTGTCTCTAAGAGACTCTGTCTCAAACAAACAAACAAACAAACAAAAAGACAAACACATTTTTAAAAAAAGATGTCTGTTAAGTTTACCACAATCCAAGACATACTGGTATATATGTGGTACTGGAGGCTTATACTAATTAAACAACCAAAACAACAACAAAAGAGCTGGACTTGGTGGTCCAGGCCTCAGGTCTGTAAGTTCAGCTACTTGGGAAGCTGAGGCAGGAGGATCCCAAGATATTCAAGGCCTGCCTATGCTACAGAGTGAGTTCAAAACCAGACTGAGCAATTCAATGAGATCCTACCTCAAAAAGAGGGTCAGAAATACAGCACAACGGTAGTGTTTGCTTGGCATGTATGAGGCCCTGGGTTCAATCTTTCTTCCCCAAAACAAAACCATCTTGAGTTCCTTTCAACCTTAATTCCTATACTTAAATAAATATATATTCCCCAAACAAAAAATAGCCATAGAATTGGTGGTCTGTTTGAATGAAGCTTCATGGGTACCTCAGATCTGTCACCCAGGCTGAGGTTCCTGGGTTAAGAGAGTTGATCCCCGGGACCTTGGCTGAATTTAGTGGCAAAGAGCGAAGTGACAAGGTCATCTCCCATTTCCAGAGCTATGTCATGTGCTGTCTGGCCTCTTGTATTCTTCTTTTGGGTGCTTGCATTGCATCTGTGATGGGAGTGGAGAAAGAGGGTCACTCAGGCATATGACCCTCAGAGTCTGATCCTTCTCTGACACAGGAACCAATCTGGGTACATCCTGTACCACTTCCCCAAATCTGTCCCTAAAAGGCCACTATGACTTCAGCTCTCTTGAGTGATTCTACCCTGAGACCTCATGATGGTGTGATTTTTGAAATATGCAATTGCTTGTCCCAGTCATTGGTTCCAATTGCATCAAAGCCGGTTAACCAAGCTAAATGAGGGCAATGTTCATTGTGCTTTGAAAAGATCTGAGTGCCCCAGGGGATGTGGTGGGACACCATTCATAGAGATCACAGCTCAGAAACTAGGGCTCCTCTAAATCATCACAGGTCAGCAGAGATGTCACTGTGCACCTCTAGCAGAGGTCCTGGACATACCCCAGTATCACGGCGATGCTCTCCTTTCCTTCCAGGCCAAGCAGAGTTGCTTCGTGAAGAGCTGTATTTCTGAACCTATTTGTGGGGGAAATTTTCCATGGTAAATCCTTAGTATCATTAGGAAAATGGACAGGGTGATGTGACCAAAGGACCTTTTGGCCTTACACACTGGGCTGAAAATAAATAATCTGTCATATTAGTTACTTTTCTGTTGCTGTGATAAAACACCATGACCCATGACCAAGGTAATTTATAGAAGCATTTATTGGGCTTACCATTCCAGAGACGTAAGAGTCCATCATGGTGGGGAGGCATGGCAGGAGGGCAGCTACAGCAGAAAGCTGAGAGCTCACCTCTTCAAGCAGGCACAGGAAGTGGAAAGAGCAAACTGGAAGTGGGCAAGGTGCTCTAAACGCTCAAAGCCTACCCTCAGTGACATGCTTCCTTCAGAATGGCTGTACCTTCTGAACCTCCCAAAACAGCACCACCAACTGGTGAGAAAGTGTTCATAATCTTGGAGCCTATGGGGGACATCCATTCAACCATCACACCTAAGGCTATCTCCTGGTCTCCCTCTCTGCTCCTGACCTTGGCTTTTGTAGACAGAAAGGGGAAAGTCTAGAAACACTATTTTTTTTTTGGTCTTTTTGAGAAAGGGTATCCCTGTAGCCTCAGCTGGCATAGCAGCAATCACTACTGCAGACCAGGCTGGCCTGGATCTTACAGGGATCCACCTGCCTCTGCCTCCTGAGTGCTGGGATGGAGGGCTTGCACCACCACCTGCTGAAACACGAATTTTATAATGTGAAAAGTCCAGAAGAATCTGGTTTGTTATCAATTTAATGAAAGTTAATAAATGCTATTTGAGCAATTTGCTACAAGAGTTTATGAAATTCATTGGACACAGCTTCAACTTTATCTTAGACCTCTTGATAACTGTATATAATGTGAATAATTTGATAACTTTTCAGGGATTCACTCCCCAGTTTTGAATGGGGAAGTGAGTGGCTTCAGTGAGTTTGCTTCCAAGCTATGAGACTAATCACCAATCTTAGGAGTCCATGGGCACACCTGAGAGGAAGACCAAGCTTATTTTGCTGCAGTGCTAGGATCCCTCTCTACCCTTTCTGGTCAAGTTTCACCAAACGATGGAGGAATAGCTAACTCCTGATCTAGAGGTGGTAAGAGTGAGGGAAGAGGGGAGTCATGATTACAAACATGGGGCTGGAAAGATGGCTCAGTGCTTAAGAGCACTGGCTGCTCCTGCAGAGTTGTATGTAGAAGAGCATTATGCTTACATGTTTGTAAGTGCACCTGTGTCATGCAGTACCAAAGGAAGACAGAAAAGGGCATCGGATCCCCTGGAACTGGAGTTATGGATGGTTGTAAGCTGCCATGTGGGTGCTGGTATTCAAACCTCGGTCTTCTGCAAGAGCAGCCAGTGGTCTAAACTGATGAGTCATCTCTCCAGCCTCAGCTTTCCACTTTTCAAAGTAAATGAGAAAGGGTATTTTCACTGTAACAAAACTTTAAGTTTCAAACCATCCTAATGATTTTAGACCTTATAATTCACATAATTTCAGTTACTTAAATAGCTAATTTAACCAAGGCTCCTTGGGTTAAGCACTTCTGAATGCTGTGATTAGCTGGTTTCTCATATTTCTTCTGAGGTAATAACTGGAAATGTCAAAATTATTTGCCTTGTGACAGTTTTCAGACCTGCTCACTAGTTCTTTATAGACAGTCCTTGCTAGTTAGCTTCTGTTGCCAATTTGACACACCTGGAAAGAAGGAACCTCAACTGAAAAACTTCCCAGATAAGATTAGCCTGGGGCCGTGTCTGTGAGGCATTTTGTTTGCTGATGCAGGAAGGCCCAGCCCACTGAGGGGAGTGCCATCCCTACGCAGGTGGGCCTGGGTTATAGTTAGAAAGCTAGCTGAACAAGCCAGAGGAAGCAAAGCAGTAAGCAGCATTCCTCCATGGCCTCTGCTTCAGTTCCCAGCTTGGCTTCCTTCATGATAGACTGTAAGTTATACGATGAAATAAACCCTTTTCTCCCCAAGTTAGTTATGATCAGTGTTTTAACAAAGCAACAGTGAAGCAAGAAGAACAAACAACAAAGATTTAAGGATCAGCCTTCATATAGTTATTGATAGTGATGAGGACATTATCATCAACCTCCTCATCATTGTCTTAACATAACCTGCCTGTCAGACTCAGCAGGGAAGATCTCCTGTATTCAACAGTATTGGAAGCCCATCATCTCATCAAAGGCCACACTGGGTTGTTTATTCAAATCTTAGTGTGCATTTTGAACATTCTTCTAGGGTTGGTGAGATGGCTCAGCAGGTAAGGGTGCTGGCTTCCAAGCCTGATAACTTGAGTTCAATCCCTGGAACCCACGTGATGGAAGGAGAAAACCAACTACTACAAGTTGTCCTCTGACCTCCACATGTATACTGTGGTACCTGTTCCCCTGCCCCGGACAAAATCATAAATGTGAAAAAAAATTCTCTAGATCCTTGCCATATAAATGGTACAACTAGATTAGCAGTATTGGCATCCCCTGTGAGCTTGTTAGAGATGTATTATCTCAGCTCTCACCTTCCAAACCTTTCTTCGCTCTTCCCTTCTGCCTCTTAAGATCCTGAATGATGGGCTCAGTGGTTAAGAGCGCTGGCTGCTCTTGCAGAGGACCAAGGTTTGATTCCCAGTACCCACATGGCAGCTGACAACCATCCTTAATTCCCATTCCAAAGGAATCTGATGCCTTCTGACTTCTGTGGGCATGGTATGGTACAGGTACACTTATAGACATGCAGGAAATACACTCTGTGCTGGATAGTTTTACTTATCAACTTGACACACCCGGTGTCTTAGTTTGTTCTTCATTGCTGTGACAAAACACTCTAACCAGTACCAACTTGGGGAGGAAAGGGTTTATTTGTCTTACATCTCCCAGGTCGCACACAGTTCATCAGGGAGCCCAAGGTAGGAACTCAGGGCAGGAACCTGGAGGCAGGAGCTGGAGAACAGGCCATGGAGGAATGCTGCTTACAGGCTTGCTCTCCTGGCCCCTGCTCAGCCTGCTTTCTTATGCAACACAGGCCCACCTGCCCAGAGTTGGCACCACCCACAGTGGGCTGGGCCCTCCCACATCACTCAACAATCAAGAAGATGCCCCTCAGACATGGCCACAGGCCAGTCCAATGGAGGAAATTCCCCCACTGAGGCTCTCCCTCAACCCAGGTGTGTCAAGTTGACACTAAAGCTATCCAGCACACCTGGGTTGAGGGAGCCTCAATTGGGGAACTGCCTCCATTGTACTGGCCTCTGGCCATGCCTGTGGGGCATTTTCTTGATTGTTGAGTGATTTGGGAGGATCCAGCCCACTGTGGTTGGTGCCACCCCTGGGCAGGTGTGCATGTATTGTTTTAAAAGCAGGTTGAACATGGTCCAGGGGAGCAGGCCAGAAAGTCTCCTTCCTCCATGGCCCGTGCTTCAGCTCCTGCCTCCAGGTTCCTGCCCTGAGTTCCTATCTTGGGTTCCCTCGGTGGTGAACTGTAACCTGGGAGATGTAACCCAAATAAAACCTTTATTCCACAAGTTGGTATTGGTCAGAGTGTTTTGTCACAGCAATTGAAAGTGAACTAGAACACACTCATACACATAAAATGAAAATAATAAAATATTAACAAAAGCAACTGCCCAGTAGAGTATTTCCCAAGGGTCAGCACATAAAAGCTGATACAATTGTGATCTAAGGGGGCCAGACTCCATCCTGAGCTGGCAGTAGAACTTCACAGTGAATAATGATTTTGGAGGCATAAAGGATGCAATATTGAGGGGATCAATGACTCTTACTGCATGGTTTCAGAGAGTACCTGAGACCAGGCAATGTGTGGTATAGTCAAAGTCCCTACAAGGAGGCCTTGAAAGGCTACTGAGGCTGTGAAGGTGAAGCCTAGGTTTTAATGGAGCCCCCACATTGTTGTAGTTGCCAGGACCATGGGCTGTCTGCCAAAGAGAGATGCAAGCATGGAGTGGAGCCAGTTCAAGAGATAGGTATGTGCAGAGGTAACAGAGCTGGAGAGATGGGGCTGCCAAAGCCCTTTGGAACCTAGCCATTTTCTCCATGAGTGCCAGATGCTGCACATGGAGCTGCAGAATTTGGTGTTTTTTCCTGATAGGTTTTGGTCTTGCTTTGGTCAATCTTTCCTTGCTATGCCCCCATTACTCATTTTTGGAATGTGAATGTATACTCTGTGTCATTGTATGCTAGAAGTATGCAATTTGTTGTGTGCTTTCAAATTTGTTCATTTTATTTTGTGTATGAGTGTTTTGTCTGCATGTATGTAAGTGTACCACGTGTGTGCAAATCTGTAGATAGGTAGAGGGCATTGGATCCTCTGGAACTAGAGTTAAGGATGGCTGTTAGTGGCCATGTGGGTGCTAGGAACTGAACCTGTGTCTTCTGCAAGAGCATCCAGCACTCGTGACCACTGAGTCATCTATCCCACCCCTTTTAAAACCCTTATGAGGGGGGTCCACAGTTAAGAGATTGCCTTGAGTCTCAAAAGAGACTTTGGAGGATGGAATGAACGTATTTTGCATCATGTGATGGCTGTGAGCCCATGGAGACCAGAGGCAGAAAGCGGTGGTTTCAATGTGAAATGTCCCCTACAGACTCACATTTGAGCACTTGGTCCCCAGGTGGCACTGTTTGGGAAGGTTATAGAACCTTTAAAGGCAGCGCCTTGCTGGTGGGTCATTGGGGAGGCTTTGAGGCTTTACAGCCTAGCCCTACCTCCTGTTCATGCTCTGCTGCTTAAGTGTGGAATAATGTGACCAGCCAGTCTCGTGTTCTTGCCACCATGCCTTCCCAGATTGATGCCATGTTAGAGAATCTTATCACAGCAACAAGAAAGGAACTAAGACATCCAGTTTTGGAAAAGGAAGGTTTTTAACATTTTACTAAGACTGAAATAGATTAAAATGGCTCTAAGGAGTACCCATTCGAAGAGGGTGCTTGTGTGGACTGATTCTACTGCACTAGAGTCCCATACACCTGGTCACAATAGGGCGCCTTACAATCCTTTCAATGTTTCACTTACGGTCCCCACTGCTGGTCGATGTCTGCTCCTCCTTGAGCAAGAATTGGAATGGCTTCATGGTGCTTATTCACAACAGCCACAATAACAGCAGGTCGACCTTGACTATCACTGCAGTTGGGGTCTGCTCCCTGCGGGTCATGGAAAGGCACAAACCACTGAACTTAACACTGTCCAAATACCATCCTATGATTAACAACAAATATCTTACTAAAGAAAGATGGCACTGAGTTGAGTTTAGATCAAAGCAAAGGACAATGAAGAATCTCGTGACTCTAATTTTAAAGATGCAGCTGTCAAGTCCCCCAGAGAGTAAGTCTTCTGCTCCCCACCAGGAGGAACAGCACTTAACCATCTGGGCTTGTTAGGAAAACAGGCCGAAGGTCAAACGTGGCCACAGACCAGGGATTCTGTCCAGCCTCGTGGATGTTAGTCTCATGTGTGCTTGTCTGCCTGTTTCTTTGATATAAAAACCACAGCAGTAACAATTAATAAACACTCTCAACTATTTGCACACACTAGTTAATGGGCAGCAGGAAACCAGGATGACCTCTGCAAAGAGTCCTTTTTGGATTGCACTCACTTCATCCAGCAGCTGTTCCAGCACAGACAGTCTTCCTTTCCCTGTGGGGCCAACTTCCTCCAGCAGGAGTCTATTTTCAGGCTGCAGGATTACAGAATGTGATCATTTCTATCACCTCCAAATATGAGTGGCAATCCCAACATTCAAGGCACACTCTACCCTCTCTCTCCCAGCTTAGCAGCCATGTGGTCCACTGAGTTTTGAAGCACATGGATGGATGGTGAGTGTTGGGGGGAAGAGAGAGAGAGAGAGAGAGAGAGAGAGAGAGAGAGAGAGAGAGAGAGAGAGAGAGAGAGAATGAATGAGTGTATCTCTCTGTGTGTTTGTATGTACACATGATCTTCCATATACAGCAGTATAGACATCCACATGTAACTATAATCTGTGCTGGTCTTCAAAACTTTTGCCTTGAGTAAAGACATTGCATTGTTTTTTGCCACGCAATCTCCAATGAAGCCCGCGTGAGATCCTCCGTGGGTTGAGGCTGGAACTTCAAGGAAGGTTGCCTCTTGGAATTAGCTGTGCTAAAAAACATGCAGTGTACTTGGCATGCTTTTACTTGCTATTATCTTTCTGTCACTGTATCTTGGGCTTTCTGGGGGCCTGGAAAGCACCTGGTGTCCTTGGCACCGCTATCACCACCTTTATTAAGATGAAATAGTTATGTTTATAAGTCCCATACTTGGAAGGATTTCATGAGAGCTACAGGATTAGAATAGGATATTGATGTAACTTGGGGTTTGGAACATATTAATGAATAAGGAAAAATAAAAGACAGATATATAGCAACATTGTTGTGAACCACCTGGAATTCAAATAGAAACATTAATAATTACAGAGCTAGTATTGAAAGTACAATAGTGGTTTGAGGTCAGCTCACCGGGTAATCACAAAA